CATGGCAAAACCGTGTGTTGCTCCATGCTTACCCCCCCCCCCCCCCCCGTGTGTCTGAGAGATTTGAATAAGTTGAAAGGAGAATTTGCTGCCGCATGTTTCCCTTTCAGACAAAGAGACAAAACACAGGATTTACATCCCTCCAAATTTAGACGAGCTCCATGTTCCAAGGACGTATTGAAAAAAAAATGAAAAAAAAGAGGAGAGATCTCGTCTTCCCAGAGAGCTTACGGCGTTTGCGCTTCACGAGAACCCCCCCCCCCCCCCTTTTTTTTTTCATCGAGCCCGCGAAACCACAGCGAGCTTAAGGACAACATGAATTTACCACATGGTTTCCCAGCTACCACCGAGAAAACGGACAGAGTTACACGACAACACCATCGCGCATATACACATTATTATCTTCACCTACGAAAAAAAACTATTTCCACGCTCGCAGCAAAACTCATCAACAACCAGCCCTTCTTCGTCATCATCATCGTCATCGCCTCTCACTCCCCAAGAGGCGTCTCACGCCTTGCCGTTGATAACCCGCAACAGCTCCTCCCCCTTGGGCGCCCCCGTAGACAAGTTCTCGTACCCGTCGTCCGTGACCAAGATGTCGTCCTCGATACGCACGCCGCCGACGCAGTAGTACCGCTCTAGCACCGCCTTGTTGATGAAGCGCGCATGGCGGGGGCTGCTGAGGAAGTAGCCCTCAATGTACTCTCTGCAAAAGTAGCTGTTTTACGTTTGACTGGTTAGCAAGGTTCCCTACGTTCTCAGACAACCTCATCCGAGGAAGATGACAATAGGGAATACTCACATCCCGGGCTCCACTGTCACAATCATGTTCTTGCGCAGGTACTGCCGGCCCCTGTACGGCGGCGGCACCGAAGCAGCAGCAGCAGCAGCAGCACCGCCAACACCGGCACCGACGCCCGCCTGCGCCATGGCACTCATCATCTCGGGCGTAATGACCTCCCTCTTTCCGACCCGCCCGCCCGTCCCCTTGTTCAGCAGCAGCAGCCTCTCGCGCCCAGAGACGTCGTGCACCTCCAACCCGACGTGGTGTCCCAGCCCGTGCGGGAAGAAGGCCGCGACGGTGCCCGCGTCCCACACCTCGGCCGGGTCCCCTCGGAGGACACCCAGCTTCAGCAGGCCCTCCTGCGCGACCCGGCTCGCGTGGACGTGCAGGTCGAAAAATAGCGTGCCGGGACGGATGCGCGCGATGCACTCGTCCTGCATCCTCGCCACGACTTCGTACACGGCCCGACTCTCTGTCGAGAAGCGCCCGGAAATGGGCAGCGTGCGGGTGATGTCGCTCGCGTAGCAGTGCCACTCGCAACCGGCGTCGAACACGACAACCTCGCGGCCCTCGAGCGGCTCGTCGTTGGCGTCGTAGTGCAGCGTGCTCGCGTTCTTGCCGCTGCCGGCAATGATGGCGTACGACTGCTCCCGCGCGCCCTCGGTGGTGCACCACGCCTGGAAAATGGCCTCAATCTCGCTCTCGTTGCCCAGTTTCAGCAGCCTCTCGGCGACTTTACGATGGGCCGCCGCCGACACGGCGGCAGCTTTGCGGATCATGGCGACCTCGTACTCGGTCTTGACGACGCGGGCCTGGTCGGCGGCCGGCTGCAGCGAGGTGGCGTCGACGCGCACCTCGGCGGCCGTCTGGAGCAGGTCGCCGTGCAACAGCGGCGGCACCTGGTCGGCGTGGAGGACGTAGAGCGTTGAACCGGGCGTCAGGTGGCGGTACAGGAACTTGTTGAGCTGCGTCGTGTAGCGGACGTCGTCGACGTCGAACTGCTTGAGGCATTCCGAGATACCCGGCGTTGAGCCGAACCAGAGGACCTGGCGCGGCTCGACGTAGGGGATCCAGAGAATCAGGCGGTCCGACGCGAGCTCGTAGGTCACGGCGCAGTCGGCAAAGTTGGCGCCGCTCAGGTAGTAGAAGCTATTCGCGTGTCAGTACCTGGACCAGATGTTCAGGGGATAGACTGTAATGGGTAGGAACATACTATCGCCGCTGTCGAAAGGTCGGACCCATGTCCGAGTCCTCATAGCTGCGGCTCGGCTCACCGGGCAGGAAAACGAGGCCATCGCTGGCGTTGAGCTCCGCGGCGACCTTGCGGGCGTGGAGTTTAGCTTTTACACAAGGTCAGCATCCCCCATGGACAAGACGGACACCACGCCCACGACAGTCGCAGATCGGGTACAATAGACGACCAGACTCCATACGAGGCGACACCATCCAGGTCTGTCAAGGTCCCAGCAACGCTTGTCACCGTGACCTGATAGAACAGTGCGTGAAAGGTAGGGCGCGAGAAGCGTACCGGGAAACTTGGTCGGGATAGGCGCAACCGACACAACCGACTCAACCGGCTCAGCCGACGTCTTGACCTCAATGGACCTTTATTTGCGGCGAAACACCGGTCAGCCAAAAGCGAACAATGGGAGACCAAGATAGAATACGGGGCCCGAGGAAGAGCAAGATGGAAGAGCGCTGACGCGCAATGCGACTCCACCTACAGAGCATCAAACTCATCCACCACAACTACATCGTGATCAATGGCGCTCTCCATGGTTCGGTCACGTTGAGGGGTGTGTGATTGTGTGTTTGTGGGTGGTATTATTGTCCGGACCTGTCAATACTCGAGGGGAGGGGAGGGGCGAGGGGAGCGGTCTGACGTTGCCTCGCAGTATGGTCTTGTTGTTTCTCTTGTCGATTTGGGGATCTTGAACAAGCAAACCCGGGTGTACCTTCTGCACGCAAGGTAAAATGTAAGGTACAGTAAGGTAGTTTGAATGGTATGTCGTCTGCGGCTAAGAAACGCACGGATTACGAGACACGCCAATTGGAGAACTGTGGCTCGAAATGGGGGTGGCGCTTGCGTGGCGTGGCGGGTTCTGCAACTTGTTTAGTGACAAGGCACCGCAGGCCAAGGCTTTTTTTCTCGATTTAGAGAGATGGGCCAGCGGTTCGCAGGTACCTTGACAACTTGGGAAATGTTTGTTTGGTTGGAAACGGGGGTGTACTTCTGCAGAGGCGGGCGGGATGACAGAAGCACAGAAGTGAGAGACAGAGACAGAGAGAGAGGTTCCAACGTACGGTGGCCGGACTTTCGTCTGTCTAGCGCAAAGAGGCTCCGCTTGCTTCGGTGCCTCCGAAGGGTGCCATGACAGCTTATGGGTCACCGCAGGGCAACAAGTGACTGGATCTGTCGGGTAAAGAGAGAGAGAGGGGACCTGACAAACGGTTATCCCATGATAGGGCGGGCGCGAGCTAGCTAGCTACTACCTTACTCCGTACTAGTCCCGCGTTTCCCCTTCGCTGCGCGAGCATACCTACCGCACTGCCTTGGGAATGGGGAGAGAGTCTACCGGTATCTTCAGGTACGCCCGACTATTCTCGTACCGTGTACGGATAAAAGCCTCCTTTCGGTGCCGAAACGGCGTACCTTGGTAGGAGGCAAGACCAGCGGTTCCTGCGCCCCGCAGTGAGACTCTGATAAGGATTTAGCGGAGATATCCCATCTTGGACCATGGACCTCACCTCATAATCCTAAGCCCTGTTTGCTTCGCTACTATGCTAGCGTTCCGTCGGCCTCCAATGTCCGGGGAATGCCATCCATCTACATTCTACGAGTACCTACGAATAGAGGCATTTTGAAAGGACTTTGAAAAAGTAAAAAAAAAAAAAAAAAAAAGCCGCGATCTAGTAACCTCGCAGACAAGTCCTCATTCGGCTTGGTTCGTTCCTGCTGACGGCCCCCATTCATTAGCATCGGTCCCCCGAGAGCTCCCCCCCCCCCCTCCCCGGTCGACCCCAACGGCGAAATGTACTCCGTATGGATACCCACCAAACGGTTTCCCTTCACGATCCCTACCTGTCGTAAGGTACACAGTAGTGTACGAAGTAGTCAAGCTACTCTACCGTGCCAGTCGGGATTATACTGTACAAGCGTCATCGCTCTCACAACCAACACAAACATACCTCAGCTCATACGGTCACGAAATATCTCGCACCATGGCTTTTCGTCAATGAATTCCAGAGCCCTTTTCGTACACCAGTACACCTCATCCAACCAATTGGTACCTTTGGACAATTGAATTTCGTTCCAAAGCAATAAACGGGGGTTGGGTAGGGAGAGAAAAATGTCTCTCGCATCGGCCCCGTCCTCCAACCGGAACAAAGGTGGAGGAGGGGTACTCCGTACTTACTCCCACTTTTTGTGCAGAGAAAACAACCTTCACCTAGAATACCTACCTTGGGGTCCATAGCTTAGGGAGAGCTTACGCCGCGACGCCCCCGCACCGCCGTCCATCGCGCCACGCCTTACGGGATACGGATGCTATTCGGCCTGCAAGCCTGCTGCGATGCAGATGCAGATGCGCTGCAATGCCCTGCACTCCATTCGATGGCGGCCTCGCGGCTGCACCCTCACCCTCACCTTCACCCTCACCCTCGCCCCTCGGGGGCCGTTTGTGTCGCAAGTGGGTTGGTTGTCAGTCCCTGGGCTTGGGGGCGTGTGTCGCACTTTTGTCACTCGTTTATCCCGTACCCCACACTTTGTCACCACATCTGCAACCCCGTCTTGGTAATTCCATGTCCCATTGTAACGTATGCTAGCTGTAATGACAACTACATACAACTGCTGTGTGTGTGTGTGTGTGTGTGTGTGTGTGTGTGTGTGTGTGTGTGTGTGCCTACACGCTCTCCTGCGTGTATGCCTCGGGGGCCGTCTCTTTGACCACCCAGAATCCCAAAATCCCAGGCTCGTGTGAGCCTCTTCACCAATCCAGACATCCCTTCCCCTGATGATGATGCCATGCAAACTTGATCAAATCCATATCAAGTATGACCGGAACGCCTAGATCGATACGGCCGTGTGTCTTCTTTTCCCTCTTGCTCAAAAATCCTCTCTTTCTGTAAAAAAGTCCCCGCCCAAAATAGATCGCACCCTGAACTAGCAGGGCTCCAAATAAATGCTGGGTATCACTAGAAGCGAAATGGTGGCCTATAGGCCCTGAAATCCGTTCCTGCCGAGCATGCCTGCCCAGTTGCTCTGGTAGCCAGTCTCTGCGAGCATTCTCTCGAGCTCCGCGGGCCGCTGCTGCATGTGCGCTCGTCGTGCCTGTTCGATCCGGGCCGCGTCCGGCATGCCAGAGTAGCCCGAGTGCTGCTGGTACATGCTCGATAGGTCGTAGCTAGACTGGTGGTGTGAATGCTGCTGCTGCTGCTGCTGTCCTTGTCCCTGCAGATAGTACGCGGGAGACTGGCCGAGGAGCTGGGTGTCAATGTCGTCGAATGCGCCGGGCATCATAAACGTCTCCTGCGGGCCGCTGACGTTGTTCGTCCCGGGCTTTTGGTATCCCAGTTCCATCATCGGTTGATTGGGGTAGGCGAACGGATCCTCTGACGGGAACATGAGGGAGTCGAGTTTACTGATATGATTCATGTTGTGCGGCGGTGGGAATCCTTGTGGTGGGCGCTGCGTTGAGCTGGCCGACGTGCTCACCGAGTCTGGCGTCGCGCGTGACGACATGTCCATCCCGAGGAGGTCCTGGATGTTGCTCGCGAGGGACGGGTCCTGGTATCCTGCCTCGGAGATGGGCACGCCGTCAAAAGACGCACGAAGCGGCACCTGTGCCATCCTTCCGTGGGCCATAACTACGCTCGACGGTCGGCTTAGTTCCTCGGAGCGGCGCTGGCCCATGCCTGGCTGCAGGGCCGGGTGCCCGTGAACCGGCATCGAGCTGGCCTTTTGCCCAGGTGCCGATCGCTTCTTGGTAGGGATTGGCCGGGATTTGGCCTCTTGGAGTCTCTCCGGTAGTTGTTCAAACAGAACCTACCCCCAGTTAGTATACGCGTCAACTAGGGTCTTAAAGAGAGACTTACGTTGAGGGCCTCTGTGACCCTGTCGGCGGCCTGGCTCTTGGACTGCAGCTTCGAGACCATGTCTCTGCCTGCAATGGCATCTTCCAGTACCTCTGCCGATCCAATCTTTTCTGGGTTCTCAATCGAGTAAAAGACGAGAGAGAGGATGGCAAAGAATTCGGTAAACAGCATAAACCAGTACGGACCGGCCAGCACGTTTTGCTTGCGGATCTCAATACCGATGTGCACAATGTTGCGCGACACGCTGATGCAGGCCGCGGCGCAGGCGTACGAGAGCTCGTCAATGTTCTTGCCCATGCTGAGGCGAGGGGAGACGTAGTGCAGGAACGGGCGGTAGAGGACCAGTTGGACGTGTGCGTAGGCAAACCGCAGCAAATGGCGCACTCTAGACACATGTTAGCCTCGATCAACTGTAGTGTGGTGTCAGGAAACGCACCGAATAACTTCCACGGGGCCGTCTGGTCTCGGCCTCCACTGCGCAGGCAGGACCTCGTACCACTCTTGCAACTCGGCCTCGATCCTCTTAATGTTGGCGTAGCTGATGAGGTACGTCGCCCCCGGCTTGTCGCCCTTCATTACGCTCTGGCCGAGCCCCTTCAAGGGGTAGACGAACTTGAGGATCTTGGCCAAGATCTCCATCAGGCGGGTGTGGGCGTTGAATGCCTCAAAAAAGGAGAAGGTACCCGGCGGTGGCGTCAGGATGCCGTCGTTTGTTATGTACTCGTCGTCAATCTCGCTGGGGTACGGCTGGTCAATGTCGTCCGCGTTGAGCATCAACGGGAACCCGAGCATGGCCGACACGTAGATATCCATTTGCCGAATGACCCAGAATACTCGCTTCCGCACCTCCTGCTCAATGATGGAAATCTTCTCGTGCTTCAAGTACCTGTGCAGACCTATGCGCAGGGCCGACCGGAGGGCGATTCCGACAAACGCGTAGCACCCGCTCAAGTTCGAGGTGGCTTGCAGGAAAAGAATCATAAAGAGCAGGGCTTGCAGCGAGGTCAGGTCTCGGCACTCTGTAATGTCTTGCAGGATGCGCCTCGCGGTATCGTAATACTTCATTCTGCGGCATGTTAGCACGGTCCGGGACAGGCTTCCGAGGTTCATACCCTTCGTCGACGGATTCCTTGTAGGCCACGGGGGGCGCATTCTCGTCCAGGTTTCTGTACATGCAGCCCAGGGCCATGACGGCGTAGAGGAGGCCGAGGAACTTGTGTTCCTCCTTGGTGTAGTCGTCGTATGGCTTCTCGTAGATTCGATCAAACATTTGGTAAAAGGTTGGTACGTGGACGATGCGGATCAGACACGTCGCACAGTTGAGCGACAGGTAGCAGAGGCTCTTGGCCACGTCTTTCGGGGGAAGCTCCGGAGCGGTGGACATTGTCGAGTCGAACGGGGAGCTGGCTGCAGATGCTGGCGAGTCCAGGTTGATGAGGCCCGCAGGTCTGTCTGGCCGTGGGAGGAAAGGCACCTTTGTGACGGGGCCCATCATGCCTCGAAAGTGCTCCTTCATGCGCCGCAAGAAGACGGCACCGGACGAGACGCCGTGAAAGTCCCAGCCGCCCTTGTCGTCAAGGTCCAGCTGGCCAATGGACTCGATCATGGACAGAAGCTGGGGGTCCTCCTTCTCGGGAGCTACAAAGGGGTCGTGCCTGAGCTTGGCACTCTGGATTCTGCTGTGCTCTCTGTTGCGGAATTCTTGCTGGACGGCCGGATCCAGTGTCGGGTCAGCCAAGTCAACGTCTGGAATAAACTTGCGCAGGAGAGTCTCCGCGCGCTGCAGGCGGCTCTCCAATGCCTCAATGTACTGGGGCGCAGGGTTCCTCCGCCGATTGGAAGGCTTGTCATATGTACATTCTGCGGACATTAGTCTTGTGCACCAACGGAACGGCACCAAGGAGGGAGGCTCACCGTAGCTATAAACTGAGCAATGGGTGCAAGGCTGCTTGCCATCGCACTTGATTTTCTTGCGCCTGCACTCGTCGCACGCTCTGGTGACACGACGACGCTTCTGCACAGGGGCGTTGGATCCAGCTTCGCCGGGCTTTTCGTCCATGTCTGAGCCAGAATGGGCACTTCCACTTGGAGAAGGCGGCTCCTTTACTGGCCAGCCATTGGCAGAAGGGGCTGCAGACTCGTTGTCTGACATGTTGCCAGAAGCGTGAGAGTCTGGAGGTGAGTTGTTGCTGTTGTTGTTGGTGGTGTTGGCCTTGGCAGGCTGAGACGGAGGGCTCATTTTGGCAGTCGACAAAACAGGTCGACCGTTGGAGCTGTCCTGGGGTAAGCTTCAGGAAGCTGACAATAGTTGTTGTAAGGTAGATGTGGTGTTGGTTGTGGTGGTGGTGAGCACCCGGTTCTCGGTGTAAGTGCAGTTATGGAGGACGAGCTCTTTGCATATTTGATAGTACAAGGGTCGTGGTCCGATAAGCCAACCCAATCGCTAGGAACGGCTTTCGGACTGATCAAGTCTTGAACATGAGAAGAACGAAACGTGTGCCAAGACTTCGCGGGGGATGGAAGGAAGATAAGTTTAAACAAAAACGGGAAGACCAGAGAGGAGCCGGGGGATCTTTTGCCTCTTTGCTGGGCTCGTCTGGGCAGGCCGCAGCTGGGGGGGTGGAAGGGCCCTTGTTTAAGGCCGAGCAGGGTGCGGTACGAAGCAGCGGTGCAGCAGCGGTGCAGGGCCGCAGGCAGAGAGAGAGTGAGTGTGTGTAAGTCGCGCGGAAAGCTGAGCGCGAGGAATAGGATGGATTACGTAGCGGGTAGGTAGCGTCTCGGCCGGGGTTGGTTGAGACAGCAGAGTACACGACTCGAGGGTATGGGGAATATGGTCCCGCACGGTGTACGGTAGTCCCGCAGTCCCAGTGAGTCCCAGTAGCGCGGTCGAAAGATACGTATTTCGACACACGGGGCAGGACGCAGGATGTGGACCACGATCTGGCGGGCAGCGGGTAGGCCCCTGGTTATGATGATGGTGGTGCTGGATGGGTGGTGGATGGTGGATGGTGCTTCTTCTTCTTCATGGTAGAGGAGGGGGTGTCTCTAGGTCACCCAAGTGAGGTCGCGGATAGGGTCAACAAGAGAGGGAACGGAGACAATACGAAACCGTCGCAAAGAGGGATGGGGAAGCTAGGACGAAAAGGCGATAGGAATCGGTACGAGGATGAGGTGGTGGTGGTGGAGGCCGAGGGGGGAAGAGGAGGGGGAAAGGAAGACTCAAGAAAGAGAGAGAGAGAGAGAGAGGCATGTACACTATCCGTGGGAAGTACGAAGTACATGGACGATGAACAGGGGCGACCATAAGGCAGACCAAGTAGCCAGGCCAATAAGCCAAGATGAATTAAGGTAAGGCGAGCAGAAGAACAAGAGAGAGAGCAGCACAACTACCAGAAGCAGCAGCAGCAGCAGCAGCAACAACAGTAAGTTCACAACAGCATGGCTTGGGATGGCTTAGTGTTCT